AGTCGAGGCAGCAATTAAGAGCTTACTACACAAAAAAAGCCCAGGTCCAAATGGGTTCACAGCCAAATTCTACCATGCACACAAAGAGGGGCTGGTACCATCCCTTCTGAAACTATTCCAAATAATCGAAAAAAAGGGAATCCTTCCCAAATCATTTTATGAGACTAACATCATCCTGATACCAAAACCTGGCAAAGACCCACCAAGTAAAGAAAACTTCAGGCCAATATCCATGATGAACATAGATGCAAAAATCTTCAATAAAATATTAGCAAGCCGATTGCAACAGCACATCAAAAAACTTTCTCTTTTGACACAGAGAAGGCATTCGACAAAATTCAACAGCCCTTTATGCTAAAAACCCTCAATAAACTCGGTATTGATGGAATGTATCTCAAAGTAATAAAAGCTATTTATGACAAACCAACAGCCAATATCATAGAGAATGGGCAAACACTGGAAGCATTCCCTTTGAAATCTGGCACTAGACAAGGATGCCCTCTTTCACCACTCCTATTCAATATAGTACTGGAAGTTCTAGCCAAAGCAATCAGGCAAGAAAAAGAAATAAACGGCATTCAAATAAAATAGGTGGAAGCCAAATTGTCTCTATTTGCAGACGACATGATCGTATACCTAGAAGACCTCATTACCTCAGCCCAAAAACTCCTGAAACTGATAAGCAACTTCAGCAAAGTCTCAGGATATAAAATCAATCTGCAAAAATCACAAGCATTCGTCTACACCAATAACAGACTTAAAGAGAGCCAAATCAAGAACGAACTACCATTCACAACTGCTACAAAAAGAATAAAGTACCTAAGAATACAACTCACAAGGAACATAAGAGACTTCCTCAAGGAAAACTACAAACCACTGCTCAACGAAATAAGAAGGACACAAACAGATGGAGAAACATTCCATGTTCATGGTTAGGAAGAATCAATATTGTGAAAATGGCTATACTGCCCAAAGTAATTTACAGAATTAACGCTATCCCCATCAAGCTACCATTGACTTTGTTCACAGAACTGGAAAAAACCACCATGAACTTCATATGAAACCAAAAGAGAGCCTGCATAGCCAAGTCAATTCTAAGCAAAAAGTACACAGCGGGGTCAACACACTACCGGATTTCAAACTATACTACAAGGCTACAGTAATCAAAACAGCATGGTACTGGTACCAAAACAGAGATATAGACCAATGGAACAAACAGAGTCATCGGAGGCAACACAACATATCTACAACCATACAATATTTGATAAACCTGACAAAGACAAGCCATCAGGAAAGGATTCCCTGTTTAATAAATGGTGTTGGGAAAACTGGCTAGCCATGTGCAGAAAGCAGAAACTGGACCCCTTCCTGACAACTTACACTAAAATTAACTCCAGATGGATTAAAGACTTAAACATAAGACCTGGCAACATAAAAACCCTAGATGGAAATCTAGGCAAAACCATCCAGGACATAGGAGTAGGCAAGGACTTTATGAACAAAACACCAAAAGCATTGGCAACAAAAGCCCAAATAGACAAATGGGACCTAATCAAACTCCACAGCTTCTGCACGGCAAAAGAAACAGTCACTAGAGTGAATCAGCAACCAACAGAATGGGAAAAATTTTTGCAGTTTACCCATCTGACAAAGGGCTGATATCCAGAATTTACAAAGAACTCAAACAGATTTACAGGAAAAAACAAACAAGCCCATTAAAAATGGGCAAAGGATATGAACAGACACTTTACAAAAGAAGACATATATGAGGCCAACAATCATATGAAAAGATGCTCATCATCACTGGTCATTAGAGAGATGCCAATCAAAACCACATTGAGATACCATCTCACGCCAGTTAAGAATGGCGATCATTAAAAAATCTGGAGACTGACCACAGATGCTTGAGAGGATGTGGAGAAAAAGGAACACTTTTACACTGTTGGTGGAAGTGTAATTTAGTTCAACCATTGTGGAAGACAGTGTGGCCATTCCTCAAGGCCTTAGAAATAGAAATTCCATTTGACCCAGCAATCCCATTACTGGGTATATATCCAAAGGACTGCAAATCGTTCTACTATAAGGACACATGCACACGAATGCTCATTGCAGCACTGTTTACAATAGCAAAGACCTGGAACCAACCCAAATGCCCATCGATGATAGACTGGATTGGGAAAATGTGGCACATATACACCATGGAATATTATGCAGCAGTCAGAAATGATGAGTTCGTGTGGTTTGTAGGGACATGGATGAACCTGGAGAACATCATTCTCAGCAAACTGACACAAGAACAGAAAATGAAACACCGCATATTCTCACTCATAGGCGGGTGATGAAAAATGAGAACACATGGACACAGGGAGGGGAGTACTAAACACTGGGGTTTATTGGGGGGAAAGAGGAGGGCCAGTGGGGCGGGAGCTGTGCAGGGATAGCCTGGGGAGAAATGCCAAATGTGAGTGAAGGGGAGAACGGAAGGAAAACACACTGCCATGTGTGTACCTAAGGAAATGTCTTGCATGTTCTGCACATGTACTCCAAAACCTAAAATACAATAAAAATTTTTAAAAATAAAATAAAGAAAATAAAATGTCTTGGAACTCATTTCATATCTTTTACATAAAGAGCCACTTCATTCTTTTGCTTGATGCATACTATCAAATATATAGACATATTGTAGCATATTTAATCAGACCTCTGATTTGCCTTTACTAGTACTTTTACAAATAAATATGAATGAGGATATCCTCATATATATGTAATTAGATTATTTGTGAGTGGGATTTACAGTTTCAAAATTTCATCAACTTTGAAATCATCAACAAAATCAAACATCCAAATGTCCAAAAACAATGACCAGCCTATGTATGGAGGTGGGCGTAAGTTGATGTTTTTTTGTAAAGACCCAATCTCAGATACCAAGTGAGGCTGTGGCAGCTCAGATGACATACAGGTAGCCTGAAAGAAGAGTACTCATATAGGGACACAAAAGCAAACATAAAGATAGTAGACGCTGATTCATAGGAAACTGACTGTTCAGTCACAGCTCATTATCAAGAAGCATTACTCTTCCATAAAGTGCCAACAAAAATTGAGTAAGATTCACCTGATTCTACAACTTTGTAGCTGTGTGTCATTGGACAAGCTATTAGAAAGCTCTAAACTTTATTTTCCTATTCTGTAAGATGATGATAATTATAGACACATCAAAATGTTATTATGAAGATTCCATTCACAAAAATCTAAGTAAAATATTTGCCTTATCAAGTGGCACATAGTAGGTCTTTGCTAAATTTAGTTGTTTTGCAGCAACAATATTTCTTTGTATATAAAAGACAGAAACTAAAGGATAAATAAGACTTTGTATCCACTCCACCTCTCCCCTTTATAATATTTTTATAAATCTAGATAAACTATATCTAGATTATCTCTTCTCATGGGCAAACATGAATGAAAATGGCTAATTACCAAAAACCTGATAATAGTAATAGTAAAGATTTATATAGGACTATGTATAAGACTACTATGCTAGGCAATGTTCTATAAGTTTTATGTATATAAATTCATTTAATTCACCTCAACTCTAAAAGGTAGATTCCATTATCAAATCAAGTTTTCTCAAAGGATATCAGAGGCACAAAAAGTTAATCAATGTTTCTAAGATCACAGAGCTAGACTGTAGGAGAGCTAGGATTTCTGAATCCAGGCAGTCTGGCTCTAGAGTCCATTCTTCTAATCATTACGATACAAAATATCCTATGTGTCAGGTGCTTGCTGTGTATTATCTGCAATTGTCATGGCACAAGGTCACACAACCATAGACAGACAGTCAAAAATTTGAAATCTATTATCTTTCTACTATTAAGTTGGTGCAAAAGTAATTGTGATTTTCGCCATTAAAAGTAATGGCGAAAATAACAATTTAAAAAATCACAATAACTTTTGCACCAACTGAATACATCTCATTGCCTCCCTAACTGTTAGAAAAGCACGCATGAGTGAATAGAGGCTGGGGAAGGGGAACAGCAAGAAGACAGGATATGTCTTTGAAAGGTAACCAGAATGTAATACAAACATTATTAATTCATGCATTCAGGAGCACATACTGAGAGACTCATAAAGTATTTACTGCATGCCTATTCTTTGTTAAGTAGTATTGTAGATTCCGGAAATAAAGCAATGACAAAAACAAATGAAACAGCAGAGAGATAAAAACAAGTGGAGTATAAATAAAGAATACTAAACTGTAGCCCAAGGTCTCTAGGTAACCAGTCATTCATGTGACAGAGATTAATAGTCCTGCCTGCACAACTCTATAAAGAAAGAATGAGCTGCTTAAATTTTTAATTAAGAATTTTCAACAATTTTTGTGTATACGTTTTGCTTCAGTTTCATTTTACTTCAGTTTCCTTACACATAAAATGTGAATATTACCTATATAACCGCATCTGTGAAATAGAATATGTTTAAGTACCCAGGCATAGTATTTCACATATGCTATGCTCTAAATATATGGTAGACACAGCTTTTACTATCTTAGACCAAGTACTACTTTTATTTTAAATAAATTTTTTAAAGAATTGGTTAAATGGTAAGCAGCAGGTAGATCTGCGGCCTGTGAGAGAGGGAGGAAGAGAGAGAGAGAGAAAGGGAAAGAGAGAGGGCGAGAGAGACCCATTGAGATGGCTGAGAATCAATTTGAAACCCACACCTGATTTACCCCACACACAATAATTATGCACAAATAGGACAAATGGATAGGAAGGACTATGAGGGTGCCAAAATAGTCCAACCCATGCCCACAGTAAATGTCCTTGATAAAAATAAACGTACTACAGCACCCAGAAGTCTCCCTTTATCCCCAGTAAATACCTCTCTTAAGTCAAGTCGCCTTAGCAGAGGATGGAAAGGAAACCACAACCAAAGCCACCAAAAGCTTCCTGGATCCAGCTAAAAGACCTGTTCCTCCAGCCTCTTGTGAATTGCACTCTCACCTTTCTCTGTCGGATTAGTTTGGCCAGCTGCATTCCCGAAAGCAGAAGCAATGGTTCAGTCACCGGCTGGGGGGTCTTTGAGGCAAACTTGGGGCCCGTTAAGACTAAAGCTGCTCGGCCTACTAGGCCTATAAGAAAGCCTAGCGCACGCAAGAGAAACAACTGAATGCGGGCAGTGAATGAAGGTGCCATCGCAGCCTGGATTCCACACGGTCCTAGTGCTTGAGGGTTCCGTGCACCGGGGGAAAGGAGGAGAAAAAGACTAAGCAAAGAGGTGTTTGTGAAGCCTTTAGTTTACAAGTCCAGTATCTACCCACAATTCCACAGGAGCTTGTTTATCATTACCTGCAGGGCTTCTAGCCAGAGATGGGGGCGGAGACTTCCCAGCAGCTGCCTGTGTGCAATATTACCTGTTGTTAGTGCTGGTGTAACCCAAGACGGAAAGTGAGTCATAAAAAAAAAACACTGTTCTTGGAATTCCCCAGTTCTGCTACTGTGTAGCCCTGGCCAATTTACACTATGTCTCAAAGTTAGTTTACTCTTATGAAAAAATGGGAATAATTACCCTTACATCAAAGGTTGCCATAAACACTATATAATAAAGAAAAACATTTAACATAATTTATGGTAAATAGTATACGTGGTAGTTGTTATAGTAATATAAGTGGCAGTTTTTATATTTCAGCTGTACCTGTGAAAAAAGTGTTGTACTTTTGTATGCAAATATTCAGTGTGCTTAACAAACAACTAAATGGCAAGCATAAATATTTTTTTCCATATGAATATTCTTTAATGCTTATAAGATCACTAACAGGTAGTACTGATGAATATAAAATCTCCAGGCTTTCTCCTAAACTAGACACTTGAAATGCCTTTTTGACTTCTTCATTTGAATGTCTTACAGATCTTTCAAACTCAACATGTCCAAACTCATCCTTTTCTCCACAATCTGCTGCTCCTACAGGTTTACAGACAGCATTTTCATCCACCCAGTCAGCCATGCCAAAAATCTAGAATCATCTCAGATTCTTACATTTGTTTCATTCTCATGAATAATCACCAAGTCCAACTAATGCCTTTCCCTCTTAACTAGGTCTGGCTCGAATGTCACTGATGTTTACGTGAACTTCTACAAATAATCTAGCTGATCACCCTGCCTTTGTTTATAAAGTGTTGTTTGTAATATACAAATCTGACAATGTTACTCCCCTGCCAATAACTCTGCAATAATCCTCAATTTTCCTCAGGTTAGAGACCCATATACTTTATCTGGCATTCGAGTCTCATGACTGGTGTCTAAAAAACTATGTTTCATTCCTAACACCTTCCATCCCTCATATGCTAACCTCCTGACAAATAACTACCTGAAAGTTCTCTATTCCCTCTATATTCTTGCATCTGCTTTCCCAACCTCTCTATCTAGTTCAGGACAAGTGCCACCTTTTCTAGCAAGTCTTCCCTGAACTTCCAACTGGGTGTGATGCCACTCTTTTGTAACCTTGCACTCAATAGATTATCGAAATTATAGCACTTACAACCCTCTATTATGTGCTAGGTTTTCGTATCTATGCCCCATCTAGGTATGAATTCATTGAAGAACAGGGCCATTCTAATTCCTCTTTGTATTGCCAGAGCCTAACATAGAGCTTGATGTGAAGTCAATACAGGTTTGTAGGTTAAATGTATGAGATTATGAAATAACGAATGTTGAAGATAGGGATTAGACCTTAGCATCTAAGGCCTTGGGTGGGTGAAATGGCGAAGTCATCCAGGGAACTGTTTTTTCACCTGCAAAACTTAGGTGGATACTGAATGTGTCATCACAACACTTCTGGACTAATTCAAACACCTGGCAGAAAGCAGGTTAATCATGACAGGCATATCTAGCAGATCCAGTAAATCAAGCTGATAAAGTAGGTTGTCATAATCTAGGCTCCATTACAGTTCTGAGCAAAGTCTGTAGCTGAGTGAATCTTCTTTACCAGAAAAAGTTTTGTCAAAATGAAAATCTTTCTTCTGTCTAACTTTACTTTATCTAAGTTGAAAATGACCAATATGTGAAGCTGAGGTACAAAGAATGCTCACTGATTGGGCACTGACCAGACAGACCTGAATCCAAATCCTAGATCCAGCACTCATTATGTTTTTGACCTTGTACAAATCACTTAATGTCCCTGGCTGAATTTTCTCATCTGTAAAGTAGAATAACAGCTTCCATGTGGTGTTATGAAAATTAAATCACATATGCATGTAAAGTTTCAGGTTTTTTAGTCATAAATATTTTAATTATATACTAACAGTTAGATCATGTTAAGTATATCGACATTGTTGGCAATATATCACTAGAAATTTTTTATCTCTCAAAATGAATACACACTATGCATGAATCAACTACTTGTTTTCCCCATTGACTGGCCCTTTACAAATACCATTCTATTTTCTCTTTTTAAAAGTGTAACTACTTTAGATAACTCATATAAGTGGATTCATACTTTTTGTTATGGACGTATTACAATTATCATAAGACCATTAAGATTTATCTTTAAAATAGATGTTAAATTTCCTGCTTTTTAATTACTGAGTAATATTCCATTTTTGTTGTTGGTATTTTTCGTTTTTGTTTTTTGTTTTGTTTTGTTTTGAGATGGAGTCTCATTCTCTTTCCCAGGCTAGAGTGCAGTGGCACCATCTTGGCTCACTGCAACCTTTGCCTCCCAGGTTCAAGCAATTCTTCTTCCTCAGCCTTCTGTGTAGCTGGAATTACAGGCACCCACTGTCATGCCCAGCTAATTATTGTATTTTTTTTTTTTTGAGACGGAGTTTCGCTCTTGTTACCCAGGGTGGAGTGCAATGGCGCAATCTCAGCTCACCGCAACCTCCACCTCCTGGGTTCAGGCAATTCTCCTGCCTCAGCCTCCTGAGTAGCTGGGATTACAGGCACGTACCACCATGCCCAGCTAGTTTTTTTTTTTTTTTTTTGTATTTTTAGTAGAGATGGGGTTTCACCATGTTGACCAGGATGGTCTCGATCTCTCAACCTCGTGATCCACCCGCCTCGGCCTCCCAAAGTGCTGGGAGTACAGGCTTGAGCCACCGTGCCTGGGCCAAATTATTGTATTTTTAATAGATATGGGGTTTTGCCATATTGGCCAGGCTGGTCTTGAGCTCCTGACCTCAGGTAATCCTCCTGCCCTGGCCTCCCAAGGTGTTGCGATTACAGGCATGAGCCACTGTGCCCGGCCTTATTCTATTGTTTTTACATTCCAAATTACATTTATTCACTCATATGGTGAGAGAAATTTGGGTTGCTTTCACCTATTGGCTTTTGCAAATAATGCTGCAATAAATTATGTAAAAATAACTCTTCATTTAACCATGTATGCAAGAGTTTTTATCTGTGCTGCATTCTGTTCCATTGGTGTAATTGTCTGCCTTTATGCCATTACCAAAGTATGTGTGAAAAGCTTTTGACAGTGCCTTTCTAGTACATCATAGTGCTTTATATTCATTTGCACTGGGCAAGGAAATGGACACTGTCCATTTTCCTGAGTATAAAGAAAAGACACAAGAGAAATCACCTTTTGTCCCAAAAGGGAAAAAACTAAAGTGAAATGTTATGTGATAACTCTGTGTGTGTGTGTGTGTGTGTGTGTGTGTGTGCACGCGCGCGCGCACACACACAATCTCCCTATTAAAGTCAGGGAGCATTTATGTTAATGATCATCTATTTAAAAATCAAAGGTAGGCTGGGTGCGGTGGTTCACGCCTGTAATCCCAGCACTTTTGGAGGCTGAGGCAGGTGGATTACGTGGTCAGAAGTTCTAGACCAGCCTGGCCAAGATGATGAAACACCATCTCTACAAAAATACAAAAATTAGCCAGGCACGATGGCACACGCCTGCAATCCCAGCTACTCGGGAGGCTGAGGCAGGAGAATTGCTTGAACCCAGGTGGCAGAGGTTGCAGTGAGCTGAGATCATGCCACTGCACTACAGCCTGGCTGATAGAGTGAGACTGCAGCTCAAAAAAAAAATCAAATGTGGATTCTCAGGAGTTATCCTTGACTTCTTCCTATACCTCAGTTAACACTATAGATGTCGGCAACCTGTTTTCTACTCTCCATTATCGTTGCTACTGGTATTATTTTCACTGCTATTATTATGTACTACTTGCCCAACTGGTACTATGCTGACATCAATCTGCCCTCTTTCAAAATCACTCACTAAAATTCAATTTTATTTTTTTCCAGTTAATTGTGCTGCTATTCGTGTTGTATGTATTTGGCCTGTGTCTTGCCCTCATGAAACTAGGTTTTATCTTCTGTAGCACTTTTGTAGGTAAAAGACTGATCCTCGTTGTTTTTATATTTATTTGATTTAGAGTAATAATAAACAATTTTGATATGCTTACAGGCCATATATATCTGTTTTAATTGTATATTGCCCATTAATGTCTACCACACATTTTTCAATTGACTTTTGAGCTACTAAGGTTTGTTAAAATTTCCATTGTTATTAATTCATAATAGTTCACATATTTTTGGAGTTTTTACCTCTTTCAAAGGTAACTTTTTTGAGTTTTTAATACAGGAAGGGTTTTAACTTCGTCAGTATATGCCTTATATGTTGATTTTCTACCATTAAAAGTTATGTTTGAACAAAGACTTTTTTTTCTTTTCAGTTTTCTTTATATATATATATTTTTTTATTGCATTTTAGGTTTTGGGGTACATGTGCAGAGCATGCAATACAGTTGCATAGGTACACACATGGCAGTGTGCTTTGTTTCTTTCTCCTCTTCACCCACATTTGGCATTTCTCCCCAGGCTATCCCTCCCCATCTCCCCCTCCCACTGGCCCTCCCCGTTTCCCCCCTATAGACCCCAGTGTTTACTACTCCCCTCTCTGTGTTTATGTGTTCTCATTTTTCATCACCCGCCTGAGTGAGAATATGCGGTGTTTCATTTTCTGTTCTTGTGTCAGTTTGCTGAGAATGATGTTCTCCAGATTCATACATGTCCCTACAAACTACACGAACTCATCATTTCTGATTGCTGCATAATATTCCATGATGTATATGTGCCACATTTTCCCAATCCAGTCTATCATCGATGGGCATTTGGGTTGATTCCGGGTCTTTGCTATTGTAAACAGTGCTGCAATGAACATTCGTGTGCATGTGTCCTTGTAGTACAACGATTTATATTCCTTTGGATATATACCCAGTAATGGGATTGCTGGGTCAAATAGAATTTCTATTTCTAAGGCCTTGAGGAATCGCCACACCGTCTTCCACAATGGTTGGACTAATTTACACTCCCATCAACAGTGTAAA